GCTCTGCAACTTACCTTGTGGCCCGGGGCTGCTGGGAGCAGGGGGCGGGGCTTGTTGCATGTGCCCGCCCCCTGGGCTCTTTACTGCCGGAGCGCCGCTCCTGTGCGCTCCTGCAGGAAATGACCCGAGTCTTATTGTAATTTATATGCTGATTTTATGTAAGCCGCCCTGAGCCAGCCTTGGTTGGGAGGGTGGGGTATAAATATGATACATAAATAAATAAATAAATAAATAATAAACTTTATACAGGACCTCTCTTCTTCTCTTTCTTACCTGGGCTTGGAGCTGTAGCAAGTTAACCTATTCTTGAAGTTAAATCTGTCCACAGTAAGTTTAAATGTCCCTACATGAAATCTGTCGTGTAAGATGCGCTTCTGTTTTTGTAAGTAAAATTTCTTTCTCTGGCTACCACGGGAGCCAGGTCGTCTTTGCGGTTCGTCTGAACACCATTTCTCCTTAACCGGGAAACGTGGAAGATCGGGAGTACTGCTTCCGAGGCAAATGACAATTTTCGCCTCCACAGAGGCGGTGGGCGTTGTAACAGCCCGGCTGGGATTGTCCGACGGGCTGGAAACGGGAAAGAGGAGGAAGCCCCTGACTGACACACACACATTTCTTACCAACCAAAAACCAGACATTTCCACACAGCGTTTCACGATTTCCACTCGTTTATTGACACAAGTGTGGGGGAGAGGGGCAACGGGACGGAAACGGCGCTTCCCGCGCCCGGTCCCCACAAGAACCACGAAGGAATTCTCCAGCTCTGAGCGACACAGCAAAGCAAATGTTCAATCCGACAGGGAACAGACAAAGAAAAAAACAGGTGGCGGGAGGGGGGAGAGGAGAGGGCTTGTCGGCTTCGCCGTCCCTCCCCCCATCGAGAGCTCCTTCGGAACATGGGGGGGCCGTCAGCCTGCTTGGGAGGCGGAGAGACTCTGGGTCCGCTCCGAGGATCACAGGCCTTGCAGACGGGAGGGCGGAGCTATACCACAGAGGCCATGTCACTTTTACTACGGGGAGGAGGGTGCAGGACCGATGGATCTGACCCTCAGAACAGAGCTTGCTCGTACGCAGCTGCCTCCACCCCTTGGTCTTATCAAGGACAGTATTGTCTACTCAGGCTGGCAGCTGCTCTCTGGGGCCTCTGGCGGAGGTCTTTCTCATCACCTCCTGCCTGGTCCTTTTAGCTGGAGATGCCGGGGATTGAACCTGGGACCTCCTGCATGGGACCGATGGATCTGACCTTCAGAACAGACCTTGCTCGTATGCAGCTGCCTCCACCCCTTGGGTCTTATTAAGGACAGTATTGTCTACTCGGGCTGACAGCTGCTCTCTGGGGCCTCTGGCGGAGGTCTTTCCCATCCCCTCCTGCCTGGTCCTTTCAACTGGAGATGTCGGGGATTGAACCTGGGACCTTCTGCATCCCAAGCAGAGGCTCTGCCACTAAGCCAGGGTCTCAGGTCAAGGTTTTTCTTACCACCTCCTGACTGGTCCTTTTAACTGGAGTTGCCGGGGATTGAACCTGGGATCTTCCGCGTGCCAAACAAAGGCTCTACCCCTGAGCCAGGGTCTCAGGTCAAGGTCTTTCTCATCCCCTCCTGCCTGGTCCTTTTAACTGGAGATGCCGGGGATTGAACCTGGGACCTTCTGCAGGCCCAGCAGAGGCTCTGCCGCTGAGCTAGGTCCTCCACACCCCTGTCCCAACCTAGTAGGAAGCGTCTTCTCCCGACAGGCCCCACCCGGCTCTCTCCTGCTCAACAGTTCAGATCGGACTTTGCCTAACGCAGCCTAGCTACCGACAAAAACGGGAGACAAACACAGCATTCCAAGAGCGATCTCAGCGCATTCTTCACCGACCGTGTCCACTCACGGTTTGTTATTTACATTACACTTAGGCACACGAACGAGTCAAAAGCTGGGCGATACAATGGCTTCCCATGCCCAAGAGGTGCAGCATCCCACAGTCTTAACCCATCCCTCAAAATCCCTCTCGGACTCGACCGCCTTTTTTACTTTCGTTCTCACTTCAAGCGGGAAACTTGTGTTTAAGCTTTTCTACACCCTTCCTTCGCCTTTCCCTCCCCCTCAAAGGAAAAAAACCAACAACCCTCCTTCACAAACATTTTTAGAATAGTCGTGAGCCTGTTTCAGAACTGGGAAGAAAGCTGGAAACGGCACTGGCACTAGCCAATAGGTGCCTACCCTTCCCGGGTTTCAGGCTGTACAACGATGAAAACTTGCAGAACTATCTGTTCCCCGACACTTACTCCAGAAGGGAGAGGGAAGTATGTTTGCCGGGAAAGCAGCAAGGGTGATACCAAAACCAACTCTGCCACTTTCCCAGTGTTACATCTGTCTTCACCCCCGGGGTGCTCAACAAAGGCCAACCATAACCTTTTCTGAATCTCAAATCCTGAACTCCGCAAGACGATTAGCCAGCCGCACCTTCATTCCGGCCCGGGGATCGCTTGCAGGCTAGACGGGAGGATCCCTCCATTTTACCTCCGTGGCCCTTGCCCGACCCCTCTATTTTTCACTTCTACTGGCTTCACTCCATCTTGGGGCTACCATTTTTTTCTTAGAATTCTCACGGGGAGGGGAGAAAGATTGGTCTCGGATCCGTTTTTGGAGTGATCCCTCTGGATTACAGTCCGGCGAAGGGGGTGGGGCAGACGTTCTTGTTTCCCTGCCACAAAACACCCATTCCTGACCTCGCTCTCTACCAGCCTCTGCGGCTGACGTGGATTTTGAAGTGGGGTGAGTAACACAGCGAGGTTTCGGCGGGTTCCCCGGCCTCGAGGGGCCTCGGACTTTGGTCCCCAGCGGGGTGGATTTGGGCCCCCTCTGAGAGCGGGCTGGCTAGTGACGGACTCCAGTTTTAAACTCTCGAGCCTCTCGGGCCAGAGACGTCCTCGGAAGGAGGCGCAGGAAATGGAAGGAGAGCCCCTCCTCGGACGAGGGTGCTGGCGCAACGTCGTGGCTGTGAAGCCGCATGCGGGAGGGTAGCTCATGCAAAGGGCGGCGGCCCGGGCTCTTTGGGCACCTGCGGAGAGCAAGACATAGGATTAGAATGGGGAGGCCGCCATGGGCCCGTAGCCAGGAGTTTGCGGCACGCGGGGCAAATCTTTCTTCTGGGGAGGGCTGAAGGTCTCGGTGCAGAAGGAAAAGCCATTTAGCCAAACTGAAGGCTGCTACTAGGAAAGATCTCTATAAACTGCAAGCTGTCAACCACTTGAGGTGACAGTTCTCAGCTGTGGCGAGTTCATCGCTTCTGCCAGCCTCAGCCACAATTCTGAGAACAAGCTGGCAGGTGGAGGTGAGGACTTCTATGGTGAAGCAAGCTAACACTCGGGCAGAAAACGCTCTCTTCAAGGAGAGCAGTTTCTAGACACAGAGTTAGAAGGGATCCTAGAGGTCACCTACTCCAACCCCCAGCTCAGTGCGGGAATTCCTCAACTACAGCACCCCACTCTGCTTAAAGGAGCGCACGCCTTTAAAAAAAAGTTTTAGAATGATTGGGGAAAAAACATTTACCGGAGAAATTCTTGTGGGGCTGCGCCTTTAAGAGACCCCCCCCCCAAGACCCACTGTGGCTACGGGCCTGGGTTGCCGTGCCCAGAAGCCCTGGCTTTCCAGAACTCCCACGAAGACCAGCCCGGAGCCCACAGAGGCGGCACCAGTTTGGCTCCGGTTGCCATGGGCCGTGCCCATATTGCCAGTGTGTTTGTCCTGGCTGCCCAGTCTTTATGCTACTGCACAGGCCCGGCATCTAGGGTAGCCGGCGCCACGTTGGGAAATTCCTGGAGATTTGGGAAATCCCTCCCACCGGCCCATGCGTCCTTCTCCTGCTCGCTGGCGAGACCTCCCTCCGCCCACGCTCGCAGCCGCCGGCAACCCTTTCCCTGGTGGTACATCTGGAAGGATGGGCGGGGTGGAGTGCTCACAAGTGAGTAGGAAGGGGGTCAGCAGCTACGGGGCCCCCTAGAAGCCTTGGGCCCTGGCAGCTACACCACGGCCTACAGGCCGCCTTCCCAGGGAGGCTGCCCTGCCGCCCACCTGAAAACCTCCACCCGTTTTCTTTGACAGGACACCGTTTGGGTCGGCAGAAGAGGCGGCAATCCTGCCCATGGCGGCCCCAGCCGACGAGGCCTCTCTCGTACCCACCTCTCCGGTCACCATTTCCCGTGCTCTCCCCCGGATGTGGCCTCTCCGATCTCCTCGCCCTCAGCGCCCGGCCCCAGCTTGGTGATGTGGCGCAGGAAAGACGTGGCGTTGAACGCTCGCTGCGAGGACGAGGGAAGAGGGGAACAGGGTCACGCCAAAGGAGCTGAGAAAGGCACGGCGCTGGTGCCTGCAGGTGAGGCGGCTGGTAAGGGCGGAGGCGCCAAAGCCACTGGAAAAACCCATGGCCCTGGATGAGAACCTCAGAAGAGCCCTGCTGGGTCAGACCAGGGAGGGTCCCTCTAGTCCAGCCTCCCGTCTCTCACAGGGGCCAGACAGTCCCTCTGGAGGGCCAGCAACAGGGCAGAGAGGCCGAGGCCTTCCCTTGAGAAGGCCCAGCCACAAAATGGCTGCCACAGAAAGCGGGATCACAAAATGGCTGCTGCCACTTACCGTCAGTCGCCCAGTGAAATGCCTTGTGCTCTGGAGGCAGCTGCTGCCAAAGCAATGTTTTTCAAAATCTGCACAGCCAATCAAATCTCCAGCAGCCAATCAGAAGCCTCGCTGGGCAAAAGCCCCAGATGGCCCCTCCTACTTTCTAAAAACAATTGGCGGGCACCGTGGCACCCACAGGCACCGTATTGGGGACCCACGTTTTAATGTTTTGTTTTTTATTTAGTAAGCCGCCTCATACAGGTTGCTAGGGAGGAGGCAGTAATTTCTTCTCAATAAACACGACAAAACAAAAATATCTCCTTGGGTTTAGGGGATCTGGAATCCACAGATAACTTACAAATCCCAAGCAGCCGGAGGGGGAGGCTACGCCGTGTAGAAGGGTAGCTCAAGCTTTTCTTGCTTTACCACTTTGGCATAGTGGTTAAGTGCACGGACTCTAATCTGGGAGAAGGGAAAGGGAAGGGAAAGGAGTTTGTAAGCTCCTTTGGGTAGTGAAGGGCATGGTATAAATCCAATCTCTCTTTCTTCTTCTTCTTCTTCTTCTTCTACCTGCTGACTCAATGATCATCATGCCACTGTTGCGTGGCCAAGGAAAGTATTTCAAATGGAAAAAGGAGTAGAAGAAGAGGAGATTGGATTTATGCCCTGCCCTTCACTACCCAAAGGAGTCCCAGAGCGGCTGACAACCTCCTTTCCCTTCCCCTCCCCACAACAGACACCCTGTGAGGTAGGTGGGGCTAAGAGAACTCTGACAGAAACTGCTATTTTCAAGGACAGCTCTGACAGAACTACGGCTTGCCCAAGGTCATCCAGCAGCTGCAAGTGGAGGAGTAGGGGATCAAATCCGGTTCTCCCAGGTTAGAGTCCATGCACGGAACCACGACGCCAAACTGGCTCTGAAGGACCCCATCCACCTCTGAGCGGCCATCCCCCCCCCTTACCTTCCACTGACTGCGAGCGAAGTTCTTCTGAATCTGCTCACACACGGAACCGTGAATATCTTTTTCCAGAGCCGTATCGCCAGAGATCCTGAGAGAGACACAATAGGCAAGGCAAGATTTTTCATTCGGCTGTTTAATGGCTGGCCGGGCGGTACCAACATGCAAGACACCGACTCCTTACCCAGCGCCTCGGAATTCCCATGTTAATCACGTAAGGCGTGAAGAAGACACTCAAGAACACCAGAGCGATTATGGCCAAATTAAAAACTATATAAATAAAAGGCTGGTCGGAGAATTTGGGGGGGAAATGGGTAAAATTATTATGCTTATTAGAAGTAAAGATGCAAAATGAATTGACTGGTATTAAAGTCACAAAATTCTTTTTTATTTATATTTTCCCATCAGTAATAATGATAGCTTAGGCAATAATAGAACTGCACTAATATAATTAAGGTCATTGTAGAGAATACTACAATGATATCAATATCAGTGTTTTCTGAAATATTCAAGACCAAAAAAATAGTTTTTGACAAATATATGGACCTAGTTTATTGTTATCCTTTTTATTCTTAGAAATGATCTTAAAATGTACTCTTTGATTATAGTTTGATTATGACAACCGTAGTGGTATTAAGACGTAATGGAACATATAATAATCAACGCTAACAGTTAATAGACTATTACTATTGATATTAATAGTAACTAATGGTAACAAAGACTAGGCTTTAATCATAACTGTATATAGTATATAAACATCTTCCTAATATTACGTATTTTAAATGTCTATGTTAAATGCTCTATATTTACTCTAATGTTAAGAACATAAGAGAAGCCAGTGTTGGATCAGGCCAATGGCCCATCCAGTCCAACACTCTATCACACAGTGGCCAAAAATACCAGGCGCCCTCAGGAGGTCCACCAGTGGGGCCAGGACACTAGAAGCCCTCCCACTGTTGACCCCCCCCCAAGCACCAAGAAGACAGAACATCACTTGCCACGGGAGTCCCTATCTATGCCTTGTGGCTAATAGCCACTGATGGACCTCTGCTCCACGTGCTTATCTAATTCCCTCTTGAAGCCGTCCATGCTTGTAGCTGCCACCACCTCCTGTGGCAGTGAATTCCATGTGTTAATCGCTCTCTGGGTGAAGAAGGGCTTCCTTTTATCTGTTCTAACTTGACCGCTCAGCAATTTCATGGAGTGCCCATGAGCTCTTGTCTTGTGAGAAAGGGAGAAAAGTACCTCTTTCTCTACCTGCTCTAGTCCCCCGCAAAATCTTGTAAACCTTGATCATGTCTTCCCTCGGCCGTCGTTTCTCCAAGCTAAAGAGCCCTGAGCGCTTTAACCTTTCTTCATAGGGAAAGTGTTCCAGCCCTTTTATCATTCTAGTCGCCCTTTTCTGCACTTTTCCCAATGCTAGAATATCCTTTTTGAGGTGTGGTGACCAGAACTGTACACAGTTCTCCAAACGAGGTCGCACCATCGATTTATACAGGGGCATGATGATACTGGCTGATCTGTTTTCAGTTCCCTTCCTAATAATCCCCAGCATAGCGTTGGCCTTTTCTACTGCAGTCGCACACTGTCTCGACATGTTGATCGTCCTTGTTATGAATAACTTATAGATTATTAGATCCAGGTGGTCAGCCGTGTTGGTCCGAAGTGGCAGGACACATTGAGAGACCAGTCAGGCACCTTTAAGACCAACAAAGCTTTATTCAAGGTATGAGCTTTCGTGTGCAAAGCACACTTTTTATTATAATAATATCTATATCTCCTGTTTTCCCCCTTGTTTTCCTGTAAAAAGGTAAAAGGTAAAGGTTCCCTTGCTCGAAAGCCAGTCGAATCCGACTCTAGGGATGCGGTGCTCATCTCCGTTTCAAAGCCGAAGAGCCAGCGCTGTCCGAAGACGTTTCCGTGGTCCTGTGGCCGGCATGACTAAACGCCGAGGCGCACGGAATGCTGTTACCTTCCCACCGAAGTGGTGTACCTATTTATCTACTTGCAATGTCTTGCTTTCGAACTGCTAGGTTGGCAGGAGCTGGAACTAGAGACGGGAGCTCACTCCGTCATGCGGCACACCCGGGTCTTGAACTGCCGAACGACCGACCTTCCACAGCCTGCAGTTTTTTTCCTGTATCCCTGTTTTAATTTATCACCATCAATCATGCTATTGTAAAAAGAGAGAGAGAACACCAGAGCAGCAGCCAAAGGCCAGTCCTGGTCGTGAGCCATCTGCTGGCATGGTGACCCACTCCCTGTCTCGCCAAACAGTACCCACCAGGTAGGGCTGTTTCCCGAAACCAAGCAAAGTATTTAAAATTAGGTCTGCTGGCGGTGCCAGAACTCCCAGCAGGACATAACACGTGCTCAGTCAGAGGCTGAGACAATTCAACGTGACACTCGCCCTCCTCCTAGGGACTAAATAGAATAACTCACATACGGAAGCCTGAAACCTTTTCAAAAGAGGGAAAAGAACGAGGAGGCGGAGCTTGAGGGAAGGGCAATTTGCCTTCTTGAATCACTCCCTCTCTCATGCACACAGGGGTCATTTCCTGCAGGAGCACACAGGAGCGGAGCTCCGGCAGTAAAGAGCCCAGGGGGCGGGCACATGCAACAAGCCCCGCCCCCTGCTCCCAGCAGCCCTCAGTCAGAGCAAGAAGCAGCCAGGTAAGCTGCAGAGCCTCCCCTCCCGCCCCCCCATCCAAAACAGTTCAGCGGCACCTTTAAGACCAAGTTTTACTCAGGTACAAGCTCTCCCTCCTCTGCGAGGACAGATCTGCATGTTCCCCCCCCCCAATAGCTAGCAATCCAAAACAGTCCAGTGGAGCCTGAGCGGTGGGTGTTGCCTTCTGACACACTTCCGGTGATGTCAGGGTGTGTGGCCTATGCAAATGAGTTATGCTAATGAGTTATGCTAATGAGCTCCTGCACCTCTTTTTCTACGAAATGACCCCTGCACGCACACAAGGAGCACTTCCTTTGCCAGGCTCATAAGGTGTATTTGACCTTGTTGGTGAGGAAAGCACTGCCAATTCCAGGTCGGGAAGCTCCTGGAGACGTTGGGGGGTGGAGCCTGGGGAGGGCGGGGTTACGAGAGGGAAGGGACCTCGGTGAGGCACAAGGCCACAGAGTCCGCTCTCCAGAGCGGCCATTTTCTCCAGAGGAACTGATCTCTGTCGCCTGGAGATGAGCTGGAATTCTGAGAGATTCCCCAGGCCCCACCAGGAGTTTGGCAACCGTAGGTGGGAGGTGGGGAAAGTTTGGAGTGGAGAAAGATCTGCCAGGGAAGAGGGTGCTTCCCCTCTCAAACGGGGCCCCCCATGAAGTTATTTTGTTTTATTTATTTATTTTTAAGTGCTTGGGTCTTCGTTCCACACATCTTCACAGAACGCTGTAATTAGGGAACATAGCAGGCAATGGGGGAAAGCGGGCATTCCAGATGGACATCCCGGTTCATGAAAAACAAATACAACTTTCTTACTTATCCCTGTGTCAACGTCTTTACTTAAAAACCTAGGGCTTTCCTGCATTCGCCATTTCTTTGCTTGTAAGTTCTTGTTTCTCGGGGCATGTGTTTTGCTCCCTCTGGGGGTCAATTCGACATTGCACTGCTTCATGTCCGGCATTAAAACCTGCAGTCTAAATCTGCAGGTTTTCCTGCCGGACTTAAAACTGGTGTCATATCGAATCATAGAATCACAGAGTGGGAAGGGGCTATACGGGCCATCTAATGCACACACACCTGCTCAATGCAGGATCAGCCTAGAGCACAGCCGCCATTTCTCCACTCCCACAGGAGGGCTTTTCAGTGCCGCCTTTAATCCGCATTCCCTCCTCCGCTGCAGGGCTACAATATTATAGCGCTCCGTTCCCACAGCCCGCCAGCTGCTCTGAGTGCCGAGCTTTCATCGACGAAGGCCGGTCCCGAACGGGCACCGCTGGAACCCTGACGCAGGGCGGTGGGCGTAACGACAGAATGGCTGCCACGGGAGGTGGGGCCAGCCACAACAAAATGGCCACTGCAGGAGGCAAGACCAGCCACAGACTCTCCGGGAGTGCGGTCGGGCACCACGGGACGGTCGCTCCTCAACGCTTCAGGCTGGGCTGCGGCACGAGCCCCCCTCTGTGAAACCGGCACCGGGGGGGGGCACAACAAGAGTGGCCCCTGCGTTGCTCTCCCCTCCCCTCCTGGGCAGCAGGCCCATTTTGCTGCCTGGAGTCTGTTGCTGGGCTCAGCACTTTGGCGCTGGGGGTCCCAGCGAGGCCTCCCTCTGGGGCCACACCTGGCAGCAGAGGGCTCTGCCCTCCCTCCCCCCCTCCCGCCCTCCCTCCACG